ATGACGCCAGCTATCGCTTGAATCGAACATTTTCGATATCCGGCTGCATTGGTGAGCATTCAATGATTGCGAATCTTGGAAACCTAGCTTATACTCAATTCTAATTTGATTATCGTTATTTATCTTGCGAAACATCGCATACGATAGTAACGGCAAACATATTTATTCGAAATGGGCTGTTTATGTTCGATAAATAAATGAAATGATTACCACAGCTTCAAAAGCCAAAGTTCTGCAAGGAACGCTTCTCAAGCCTAAAACATTTGTACCATAGCCAATTTCGTTCTTTAGAAAATTATGTTATAGATCCCACAAACCGCCTTGATGAAGCTAATATAAAGCGAAGTATATATAACTTAATAGTTTTTTCTCTTACATCTCACAAGGAAGAGTCACGCAATCCTCTAACCCGTTTAACTGTAAGAGCAGCTCTGGTAGAACGTGGTGGCAGTTTCCGAAAATGGAAATATATACAGGCTTATAATACCATATCTTAGTTGCCAGGGCTAATATATGATATATGGTAAAGTACATAAGGAATTACCGAGTGAGGGAGTTCCGTAGGGGAGAATGCTTTTCAAGATTACATTCATGATGCCCAGAGCGACCCCACAAGACTTCATGAATGAACCCCTGGATGCGATGCAAACAAAAGCTAGTGCCCATTGTTTAAGCAGATCCTGAGCATTACAGCTAGGGTCAACAACAACAATGGCTTGACATTATTTGCCATCCACGGAACTGTGTTAAGCAATAATTACTCAAGCTAAATGGGCTAATAGATGTGGGCAGGTAACGCAGGTAACGACAACAGTACGCTCAGCACCAGCTGAGCGTACTGTTGTCGATAAAGGTAAGCACAGCAGTCAGTTATGCAATGGCAACACGAAGCTGACGCATAACGTAGCGTCGGGGTCGAGATCGAGATCATGAAGGAGAGAGCGCGTGAAGTTGTTTTTTGGAGAAAATTGATTACGAGATGCCGAAATACGACAGGCTTCTGGTATAGGCGTTCCTCGGACGGGTTGCTCAGTGTCATCAGGTCTGCTTTTACGGTAGACAAAACTTTATGCGGCAACGCCCGCAGACTTGATATCTATATACTAATGGGTATGCCTAAAACCTCTCGCATAGTGCTTCTGTTTTCGAGACAAAATCGCCTGCAAGACATCGATATACACCATGGTGTCGTTGCCAGCCAATCATATTGTACTTTATAATTGTCCATATTGACATGTATCGTACAATACGCTGAACTGCTATAGCACGATATAGAATTTTGCGTTGTCAAGATAATCATAATCAATAACTGAAAAATCTCCCCTTAGCCGCCATGTTATGTAGTGATATATGAAGGCAAGTAGGGATATCTTGAAAGTTCTACCATGACGATAGGCTTCAATTGCCATTCATAATACTTTGTCAAGTCTGCTAAACTGTATTGGTAAGAGCAATGCGTCAAAGTATAGCTAGCTTATGTTAAAGAAATATTAATTATCTTTCCTTATTCACGCAGGGCGCCTTTACGAGCCTCAGGTCTCTTTCAACCATCATTGAAATTGAAAAAAAAATTTATTATTGATCCTATCGTAGCCCTTAACAGCAAAGTGTCATATATTATTTTTTTTTTTAGCTCGTTTGCTCTTTTCTTGTACATTACTACCTATACATTGGGTTAATTCTAACTAACGACGAAATCAGCAGAACGAAAATATAGGTAAACGAAATATACAAACTACATATTGTATATGACTTATTCGCTATTGAGCGTTACCGGCTAAACAGAAACCCAATTCAAATGCTTATAAGGTTTTTATGGTCACTACATTTTTTTTTTTTGTTTCTTTTTTGATGGTCTCAGATGTTTCAATGGTATTGCAACAATGAAGAAAACTGATTTAAACGTGTTCCCTTTTACGAGGTGATGATAGAGCTATATATACATACAATCGTGGCTCCAAATGCCACTCTTGTCTCCTGTAAAAAGAGTCTGACAGATATTTAGCAGACTTGCTAGCACGTATTAACACTTAACTGTTATGAACCACGGGTAACAGAAATATAGCAACATCACTCTGTAAAAGATTAGCGAAATTTTTCTTTTTGCGATATTGAGAAACGATAAATCCGTGTTTACTTAGTTTATGAGGCGGGTCCTGGTCCGCGATAAAGTCTCATACATTTAGGCTGCCCGACTGTAGTTAGATGCAGCTGCACAACTTTCCTTTTCGACCAGTTAACGAATTGTTTGCGCGCGAAATTCGTATCGACCCTGGACGACCGGTCGAGGATGAATAGCATTCTCTATGTTGAAGATACATTTTTAAACTTAACGAAAGTAAGTAAAGTGCGTCTTCTTCATATTTAGACACCCACTTCGGGGCTTGAACTCGAAAGAGAACTTCTGTTTTTTACACAGCGAATTGAAGTCGGCTTTACAGAGGAAAGGGATAGTGTTGTCGAATGGTACGTCGAAGTAGATAAACAGCTGAAAGCTAAAAGACACCACTGGTTTCCTTACTTCTCAACGGCCATTATTTTTCATAACTATGCACCTTTATTGATTTGTTACCCATCTCTACTACTTTTACTGTACCCGAATTCATGACGCGATGGTCCCAGATTATCGAAGTCTCACCCATCGAACGATATTATACGAGGTCGTCAAACCTTGTCTTGCTCTTCATCAAGGCTTATTTTCTTTGGGGAAAATAAGGGTCTGGTCCGGTTGTTGCGACCATATTAATCCCGTACAAGCACACCAAAAATTAACATATGAGTTGGGAAGTCGATCCATTGCTCTTTTTTTCTATATGTACCCACTCATAGCGACGCACGTGTTAGGGTAGTTCATTTTGAAAGTTCCCGGGTGTTAGCTAGATAATACAGAGAACCATTTGGGCTTTAGTTGCTTTGGTGCACCAAGATGTGCTACTACAGTCAGCTTGAAGGATCGTTGGATTGCAGTAGCAGAACTGGATGTTGCTGTGCTCAATCTTGCTCTGGTTTATTATTATCAAACCCAGATTTTTGTCTGAATCAAGAGCAACGAAAATCCGTAAAAGCCACAATTCAGAGTTTCGTAGGCTCTTTCATAAGCATAGACACTTTCGCGTGATGGTGAAGCTTTTTAAGCACACATAATACGAATGAAAAACACTCTCTGTTTAAAGATGTACGTCTGGCACAAAATCGATGAATAACAAGCGACTCTGTTCAGTGATTTGTACGCTAGGACACTGGCTTGTCTCTAGCCATTTTCGATCATCAAACAATTATATCATCCTGTATTGAGCTGACGCGGTCGTTCCATCGAATACCGGTGGTGTAGAAAACTATTTACCCAGACTGGTATGTTAAATCATTCACAGTGCTATAGTAGTCCCCGCAGGAACTGGCATCAGTTTGATGAAAGATTATTTGTCTTCACAATTAAAATTAACCAAAAGTATTCTCATCTAGGTAGTAGCACCTTCTCTTCTGTGCAGTCTTCTGTCTGACAATGGTCCTATGCTTTCGACTTGTGTGTCCGAGTAATATTTTCTGTTGGTTCTGTTTATATATATATAAATTGTTGGGATTTGAAAATGTTACTGTTGCAGTCTTACGATGGTTGGTTGTTTATTTCACACATATGATATATAATTAGCATATGTCAATAACTTCAACTTCATGGATGGAAGCAAGTTTCGATGCAAAGAAGACAGTTTAACAGAAAATTCTGCTCTGAACGGTCTGTGGGTATACATAAAATAACAGAAATTATAATGTGCTTATTCGTGTTCTGTCATATAGCATTGTTGAGTTGATGTGCACTTCGGGTCATACGGAAGGTGGCATATTAACAGCTGATACTTTGGGTGTGGCATTTATTATATATATATATATAGATATTAGCTGCTGCTTGTTACATCTAGTAAGTCATTTAAACAAATGGATTCCATAAAATTTTCGTTCATCAAAATTTCACAGATCCCCCGGAATTGGTTACGTAAGCTCACTAAATTTATAGAAAACTAGACTATTTCTGTAACCAGCGAGTTGTATGCCGATACACTTAGCTGGTAACGTAGCTTTTTTATTCATTTAGTTAAGATTTCAATATACTGATAAAAAAAAATTTGAAGTTTTTGGGCCATATAAAGCATAAAGTAAGCAGTGTAGATAATATGGAAAAACGAATTAAATTGCCATTTGGACTTTGTTGAGATATTTGATTTAGCCCAATGTACCATGACCCGCGCCATACCCTGACAACAGTATTCGTATAACATTACAATGAATGGACCAGAGTAATATCATTAAATTTTAGATAAGTTATAATTCGTATTGTAGTTAAACTTGTGAAGTTTAACTTTTACATAAACCCGCTCTTGTCTTGAAATTAGCACACCCCTAGCACAAAACAAGGTACGTTTATACTTAGCTTCGACCTTAAACTACCTTGTGTGCCTCTACCAGTACACCTGGCCATTACACCATACGGGGGGGGGGGGGGGGGGCTAGCATAATAATCTAGAAGCAATCATCAATATGGCCTATTAGGGAAAGAACGCAGTTGATTTTGCGAGCGCCCTACACAGTTTTACTTGTTTTTCGCTTATTTTATTGGCACATTTTAGGACATTAAGGCTTGCACGAGTCCATGAACCTTCAATTGCTCGGATGGTAGGTGTCAATTAATACAAATTTTCAAGCACTATATATAAGGTACCTGTGCATTTCAATCAAGTAAACGTTCGCGTTGTGTCGTTTTCGTATTCTGCCACTTGGCCTTTACTGGCTCAACTCCGGCTCCCTAAATAGCCTAAATACAATACTGAGAATGTTTCTCGGAGCACATGGACTCGCGTCCATGGAAGTAAGCGTCTAAAAGTGGCTAGAGAAGATGTCCAGGCGCTTGACGACCTTATCATTCAATTGCTATCCTGGCTAATGGTAAAAATGTCACTATCCATCTCTAGTACACGAACTATGATACTTTCAGTGAACACTCAATATTGAATTATGACACAATTTATTTGTTGCACTCGTCGTACTTATATTACTATAGATAGCTCTTTAATCGTCGTATCGTACCTGTTGTATATGACATTGTCATCGGTCCGCACTTCGCTACCATTTTTCATTGAACATCGTGGTACATACGCTAAACTATATTGTTCAGTATAATTAATAATATCCAACACGATCGCGTTCCTTATGTCATCTGGGCATGTCTTTCTGTTTGCACTGAATATCCCCATTTGCATCGTGGATATTTATAGACACGACCGTTTGGCATCGACTAGATTCATTAATATTTTGGTTTTTACTCTATTTTTTGCGTCTTCATCATTTGCTTTCCGCTTGAGTTGAGTGACCATTAAATTATTGCAGGTTTTGCGAGATCTCATTTGTAGGCGTAACGCCGCATTACGTCCATTCACTAATAGCTCCATAGACTATAGAAATTGTTCACTCATTTGTCATTGTGTTAGCCTTCACGTTTCTACATCGTCGATCTGCCCCTTTCTCGCTTTACCTTGCCCTTTCCGTTTCGCCTGTTTTCAATGCCGCCATTAATATGGCGATGTACTTCTCGTCACTTGTGTAGTTCGCACTATGTTGCAATGCTATGCAGACGCGACCTCTCGTATAGTTAAATACAATGACAATGTTATATAATCGTATCACTATGGCTATGTAGCATCAGTGTGTGGGCACCAGCCGCAGACTTCGATCACGGAAATAATAAGAACAGCCATACTCGTGTCTAATCGATACTAAACGATGAGTGTACCCATGCACGGATGCCCACTTAGTACTCTGTCGCTTAACTCTATCAACATCATCATATTTGTTATAATTCATTGGCCACTTTAACACCGCCATTTCTTCGTCGTATATAGTTAGTGATTAAGAATGCTAGTACTTCGTTTGTTTATCTGTCTATAGTGAAAAATGGTCAGCTTCGCTGTCGAGGAGTGCAGCTAGTAGCTAGAGGCGGGTCGCCATTACGACAATGAATTATCCGCTAACGACAAGGTAAAACGTTGACCATTCGATACATGTAGAGTTGGCAGGCAGGCAGGCAGACAGGTTGAAAATTGCAGTGACCTAGCGGTTAGTGGAGAAGGCGCTGTCGAAGGCCGAAACTGAGGCAAAAGTGGGCGGCGCTCAAAGAGGTAATAACGCTTGTCGGGATAGAGGCTCCTTACCCTGGAGAAGACTGCTTCAACGACACGGCGGGCGGGCAACCTAAAATTGCAGTCGACTGCTGTGTGTTGGATAAACACGACGAAAAATGTTCAAGTGGTAACGTAATAAATAATATCACACACATTGTCAGGGTAGTGTTCTTTGAAAGTACGGTATGAGCGGTCTAACTAACGGTGCTCAAGCAGTAATACGTTTCTGTACAGCATCGCCGATCAGACACAATGTGTCATGCTGGCAGCCGCTCGAAAAATGCAGGGTTGACAATCTTTATTCGATAACAGTCTGCTTTTATTTATGCTAATCTGGTTGCAGAATCAGAATTCAAGAAAACACTATTGAATAAACGAACACCATTTACAATAACCGAACCAACTAAAAACAACGCTCACAAAAACAAACAAGTTGACGATGGCAGGCGGAACGCTTCGCTTCCCAATGTCTCTTTCTGTTTACGCATTCATGTATCTCCTCTCATGTCTGTCAGCGTGTGTATATGTATATATATGATAGATGTATATACAGATGTAAATATAGGTAATCGTATTTATAATTATGTACTGTGACTACTGAAATGTACAGGAAAAATTCGTAGGATAAGCAAGAAACAGGGGGGCTAGATTTCTCGTTGTCGGCTTCTGTTTTTTGCCTGACGATTGATAATTAGCCCCGTCACCCTCTAAGCGGTTGCCCTAATAATCAGAAAAAACTACCTCCAACTAATTAATGCATGTAGCTATTGTGTTTATATTGGCGACATATAAATAAAACATAAACAACTTGATTCGATTGCACTTCATCTCTCATACAACTACCTATATATAATAATTTCTTTCCTTCGCTCCATTTGTAGCCACTTCGCGCGGGCGCCCACTGATTTCAGTCTTTGCACCTTCGTTTTTCGGTTGTGTAGCCAGGCAGAGCAAAGCAAAATGACTGACATTGATGCTTCGTTGGCTGCTTTAGATTTGAGGTTGTAGAGCGTGAAGTTATACACAGTTGTTGTTTTGTCACTCTCATGACTGCGCGTCGTACGAAGCATGACTTCCTAGATGCGTTTTATGTGTATACCCATGTGCTAGATGTTTGCGGGCTTACATGACAGGAATGAATTATTTACACGGGTGGGGGTGGCTGGAGATTGTGTAGACTTATCCACTTATTTCTTTTTGTACACGTTTTGGAGCAAAAAGGGGACGAGGGAAGGCGGGATGTGTTTGATGATGCCTAACACCTACGTGGTAGTTGATCGCTTAAGCATGGATGCGTTTTGAAGGAGCTGCCTTTCCTTTCCGCAAATGCAACTGCTGGTTGAATGAAAATTGAGCCGGCCTGCGAGCGTTGTCGTTGGCCGCGCCCGCTATGTTTTACACACTTTGTAATACAGAACAGCGAGGCAGAAAAGAGGTCGACTACTCATACTGTTGTCGTTCCTAATGTCTTTGTAGAATCAACATACTATAATGTTATGACTATCTGTCCGTTTGTGTCTGTCGAAAGTGTCTCAAAGCAAAACAGTCGATGTTTCTAGTTGATCTGATCAATTTCATATTTGTCATTTCCGTCGCCTAATCTCTAAACCGAAGCGGTCTGACACGGAGCGGATGGACCTTGCGCAACCGGAGTCTCCGAGCGGGATGCATCGCCAGAGGGCGAATCAACATTGTCGGAGGAAGCCGCTTTACAATAGAATTTTTTGTGGGCTAAGTACGATGAGGCGTAATTGAATGATATGTCGCACTCATCGCAGCGTCGATCGCTATTTCCCGCTTCGCCAGAGTCAATAACGGGTGACGTTTTTTCTCTCGCTCTAATGCAGGAGGCGCTGGCTTCTAAAGTGACCACTGGACTATCGACCCGGCTTGTCGACTCCTTCAGGCCACTATCGCCGTTCGATGCTGAGGCGTTTTCGTCGTCGCTATCGGTCGACCGAAGACGTTTAACCAGTTCGTTGTTGTTGCGCAATGACAACAGTTCGTTCATTGCCGAGAGTTGAGCAGCTGAAAGCTGGGCGGCAGCAGCGGCCGCCAACGCAGCTTGTGCTGGAAGTCCTGAAAAGTTGGTTGCCAGTACAGCTGAAGGCAGACTTGACACAGACGCTGGCTGACCAGCAACCGATCCCATTTGGCCGGGAGCAAGCCCATTGGCTAGCACGTCGCGATGAATAAGCTTAATGTGACGAACAACGTTTCCTTTGTAGCTCGATGAATAGCCGCAGAAGTTGCACCAGTGATGCATTTCAGGCTTGGCTGGTGAATCCGGACCACTGCTCTGGCTGACAGGCTGACATCCAGCAGACGACGACAAGGCCTCCTTATTGGCCACCTCTGTCCGAACCGAGTCTCTTGGCGACGGTGAGCCGGGCCCGCCCTGCCGAGCTTCCCTATTCTCCGCCGTCCTGCTGCTGCCGCCGCCTGCTGGTTCGCGACTTTCCGCTGAAGACGGTCGGCTGCTACCCGAACTCGTGCTACTGCCTAAACCAACGACGGGGCCCGTGATTGATGCTACCGGGCCTAGTGTCAGAGCATTTACAAGCGTCGCCGAAGCCGAAACTGCAGCGGTGGCCGCGGCAACCGCATCTTCGCGCGCATCGCGTGACGCCTGATCTTCCCGTTCGACCTTACTAATCGAGCCGCTACGCTCCGAGCGCTCACCTTTCATCGTACTGTCGCCGCTGCTGTCCAGCGCCGGGCTTTTGGCAGCAAGGAAGTGGACAATGTTAGCGCCGGAAGGTGGCGGCGGGATGGGCTCACCGTTCTCACCGACGCAAACAATGAACTTCTCCTCATGGACCAGCGCTCCTTTGTCAACGTGTACTCGAACATGGGTCCGCATCCCACGTAACGTATGGCCTTTGTAGCCGCATAAGGTACACTTGAACGCTTTAATGCCGGCATGTGTTGCCAGGTGGCGCTGAGCTGCCGAATGTGACGCGCAATAGACGTCGCAGTAGGGGCACTTGCGTGCGCTGCAGGCGTGCGAGCGGAGGGGCTCCTCTCCGGGAAACGCCAAACGACAGCGGGGACACTCAAGTTCGGCTACCGGACGTGAGAGAACCCCAACCCGTACCGAGTTGGCCTGCAGGAGCTCACGCTTAGGACAATAGTACGTCTGATGAGCCTGAAGGTTGTTCAGGCTGGTGAACTTGATACCGCATGCTATACAGTAGAACTGAAACACCGGCTGAGGAGCAGTTGCTGGAGCAGACGTCTGTAAAAAAAAAATTGGGAAAAAATTGTATTGGAAATCGGGAATTTATTTAAAACGTAGGTGAGTTGGGACTTGGATTACAATACAACATAAAGAAAATTGCGCTTACAATTATATTTTTACCTCTACTGTTCTGCTACATATTCTGCATATCCATGAATGAGAAAAAGTTGAGCCTACGAGAATTGAAGAAGGTTGTCCCTGTGTCTGAGGCGTTCCAGGAGCACAAGGTGTTGCCGTCGTCGCCGGTGTGGAACTGGCGGAAAGTCGTCCTTCGCCGGATGAAGCTGTCTGCGGCGAAGGACTTCGCTGTCCGCTTGATAAAACTACAGCCTGCTGTTGGGTCACTGCCTGTGCCGTTTGTAACACAGGCGCAGTCCCGCACTCGCGAGCCGATGGCCTAGCAACCTCTTCTGGTACAACTTCAGAGCACTTGCGGTTGCGAGCCTTCACGTGAGGCCTACCCACACAATAGTGCTTTCTGTGAGCAGCTAGGCTTTCAGGTTTATGAAACGAGATGCCGCATTCACTACAACGTATCAACGCCTGTTGCAGGAGCAGCCAAGGCCCGAGTAGACAATAAACAAGGAAGATCAGTTAGTGTACTCCCAGAGGGAGAGCTCAGGACCGCAAACATTTCGTGAACACTAATAGAACTAGAAACAACATATACTTTTTAAAGTAGTCGAAAAAAAAGCTAAATATCCTTAGATACTACCTGCTTTAAGTTGGCGGAGCTGTTTGATAGATCTGCAGCGAGATCAATATCCTGGCTGACTGGAGTGCCTCGCTTGCTACCCAGGGTCTGTTTGAATGATAAATAAAAATTAAGTGCATCCATTTACCAATCTGCCGTTCTGTCATTATATTTTTAGCCTCCTTAAAACTTTAATTTCGAGAACTACGTCTAACTGAGGTCTATATAACAGAGGTTTAAAGCGAATACAGTCACAGCTCGTACTTACATTTGTGTCGTCTCTAGAGTTTTCCTTTTTGGGGGTTGTTGACAGATCAAGAGGCGCCGTGGCGCTGGCAACCTCCCCGCCTTTCCTACTAGCTACTCCTCCCAACGCATCCTTGAGATCAGCGGAAGACGACGTCGCTGTGGCCACCGACTCCTGATCACTGTCACGTGGGGTCGTTGTCGTTGCTCGGTCTGGCAAGATGCTTTCACTGGCGATTTCTTCGGCGTCACGGGCGGACGCAGGACGAGGCGAGAGTGTACCTCCTGAAGCGCCACCTGGCGACAGAATCGGCGCACACTCCGTCGTCCCGGCCTGCACGGGCACCAGACCGGAGCCGGGCACAAAAGCGCACGGAACTAAGACTAAAGGATTTGTTGAAATAGCAGCGAATAATGGCTGGTTCGCCAGCTGCGATGCCCCAACCATCGGCGCACCTGCACCGAGAACATTTACTGCGCTCATAGCAGATGCAGAAGGGAGAGCCCCCACGGGTGTTTTGGAGCCGCTGCTGGCACTAGCGCAAAGTGCCTGCGGAAGAACCGGGCCGCCGCTTCCCACCGTAACAGGTGCCGACGGTAACCCAGTCGGGACACCTGCTGGAGACGTACTCGCACTCAGTCCCGGCGAAGGGACGCTGCCCACACCAACCGCTGACGTCTGCTGCTGTTGCTGGTGTTGTTGCTGCTGCTGCTGCTGCTGCTTCTGCACAGCACGAGTATTACAGTAGAACTGCTTGTGAACGGTGTACGTTTTGAACGACGAAAACTGTATGTCGCAATCGGCGCAATAGCGTGCAGCGGCGGGCGTCGCTATAGGCGGGGCAACAGCGTCTTCCGGTGAGAGAACGTGAACTCGGAGATGTCGCGTCAGGCTGCCCTTCCGATCGGTCGTGTACGTGCAATGGGGGCAGGCGAAGACCCGCTCGGCGCAGCCAGCCGAACCGGTGCTCAGACGAGGGCTTTTAGACACCGGCCTCTCATCGGCTCCTGATGAATCGGGACTTAACGAACGCTTTTGGCTATTACCGCCAATAGCAGTGTGAGCTAGTGCGGGACTTTCCGGACACGAGACGATCATCTCGGTCGATAATGGAGGGCTCACCGATGACACTACCCCAAGAGAGGACGAAATAGATAATTTTCGGTCGACTAAAACAACATAGCAAACAATGTATATTACGATAGGTTAAGAGTAGCAGTACTAGTGATGGCTGATGAATTGTTTTCAATCACTACTCGAGATAATAATAATAATAATAAATTAGATGTCTTCTCTGCTGCTAAATAGATATATTTTATCGGTTACAGTACAGCCGTAGGCTGTGTCCTTCGGGTGAATAACTGCTCATAGTCGATATCCATATTTGCCGGGAACTTCATTCCCCGACTTCTTCCTTGACACCGCTAATCAAAAAAGCCCGCCAAGAAGTACTTTTGGTCGCATGCCAATCGATAATGAAAACAACTATCTGTTTCTGCGCAAATGGTTAGGCGAACAGTCAAACATTCGTCACCGCTTCCGACTTTCCGATGATGACGACCTACAGCATCTCACTCAGTGCATGGATTCAGGAACAAAGCAAACCAGCAAATACATTGATTGTAAGCTAAAGAAATGGAGATGTCGATCTAATCTAGTTGGGTACGATGCTTGTTCCTATCGACTCATCACAGCTAACTGAGGCACTGGACGGATGTTATCTGCCGGGATAATCACACGAACGCAGAACGAGAGAGATTGGCTCTCGACGTTATCGTGTTCTGTGAAGCAAGAGAACCTGCTAGAAGCCAACAATTGAAGTAAGCAGCAACAAAAAGCAGGACCAGCATAAAGAATTAGAGCAGCACTAAGGAAACAACTACTAGAAGGAAAAGTACAATAAATACGGAGAAAGAAAAATCAGGAAATCGTAAAAATTGCACGGAGATATTGCTGCTTGTGATGATGAAATTGGGTCTTGTTTGTTTGCATGCTGATGGTTCTAGTATGACAGTGCTTGTGCCACTCAAAATTGCCGTTCTGAGTCATGAGATCATGGACAGGCACACATAGCTAACTTAACCATATATTACGGATCGCAGACAAATTTCGTAACCACGGTTGTTGGCCTGAAAAGTTTTTCCGATTACTTGGAGTAATCGAAAGCTATACATCGAAATACCGTAAGTTATAGTGTATTCAATTTAACAGAACTCACAACAGATTTGAAATAATGCGTCTCGTTTGATTTTGTTAAAAAACAATGGAAATTTTCATCAATTAACGCCATAACGTTTCAGTAAACGAAATAATGAGTCTGTAAATTCCTGCTACGAAGACCTGTTAGCTCCCATGTTAATGAATGATCGCATTAACTATAAATAAACATACAATGCTCGTCGCTTGCCCGAAACAGGAACGAGAGAAGGAACAAATTTCGACTAACCACAGTAAAACTACAAGGATAAAGACCACTGCCCATATCTCCGTGTCTAAAGCATTTACGCATCACCAGCGCCACCATGGTCAAAAATAGAAGTTGAATATTGGTTCAAAGCGGGAGTGAGAAAGGGGAGGTCGATTTAGGGACATTGTAGTAGTTTCAATAATGATATCACCGCTCCAAGACGTATCAAGAGAGGCCGCCGAATAGAGGCCTTGCTGCTAAGCGCACTTTGCCCACTATGCCGTAACAGTTTGTCACGCTGTTCGTTGTTTAGATGGTTAGGTGATACGATGCGAACAATGAGTGATAAATAAGCGATATAATGTGTCTGCTTTCCATAGGATGACTCGTTTCGTCTGTCCCGCGTCTCGACAGGAGCGGACTGGCTCTTACGACACTGTTACTGCTAACATGGCCCCCACTGCCACTGCCGCTTCTACACTCGTCTGCATTGCAGGTAAAAGCACCTAAAAACGGCAACCTGTCACCCGAACAAGGGTCGCTTAACGTCAAGCTATTTTATTCGTACCGGATAGAACCAGCAAGGGAAGTTTGTTACTATTATAGCTATTAGAAAACACTATCAATCAGATTGTGATTATCAATCTCACTATTATACCCCGAAAAGAGATTGTTCTGTTGTGAGCGATATGAGTGCCGTAATGGTGTTAGTGAAAGTTGTCACTGGCAACAATGGAAAAAGCAACGCAACTCTCATGATGAACATGGATGCACATAGTTCAAATAGTACTTTCACTTCGTTTTTGATTAAAGAGAAAGTGGCACGTGAGAGCGTACTCAGCATAACTTAGAAATCGTCTGCTATTACGATATGATAGTACTGCTTGCGAAAGTTCGCCTGCAAAACATGCCTACAGCCGCCTACCAACTAGAATTATGTTTTTCATTGCCATTAGTAATGCTCTTTTTCCTGTTCCAGATTATTAAACTCCATCGATTTCTGTCGTCGGATGCTCTAATTCTACACATTTAGATAAATGCATCAATCCAGACGTATTCTATGGAGTTCGGCATTTTTATCATTTTCAGTGATTCCAATTTATTACTATCGCGACACAAGCGTCCTTCGGGACCTATCTAGATAATAATAATACAAAGATGAATATTATTCGTAAATAGAAATCCATCGAGAGGCCAGATAGGCGCTCATACGCATGAACGTGAACGCATATCTATTGGGTCGATAAGAATACTCCCCGTTCTCTCCCATCTCTTACCGGCAGTGACAGAATTCTTAATGGCACAATCGGACTTCTCGCTTGCCCCGTTCTGCCTTCTGGTATTTGGGGAAGACGCGACAATAGGCGAAGGCGAATCCGACGTCGTCGTTGAAGATGTGCTTGTCGCAGCTACTATTGAATCTTGTGGCGTGTGGGCCTTTTGAAAGCGCTGAGTGCAATAGTACGCTGTATGTGCGGCCAAATTACGGTGATTCTGGAAACTAATGCCGCAGTTTGTGCATCGAAACGCAGCTGTCGCAAACGAAAAAAACGTTATCTATCATTACTACTATATATATCCGGGCAAATCTTTGCTTGTTGTTTATCGTAGCGAGCAGGCGCTCATCCTTGGGCTTCTACCGAAAGAAAGTCGATTTTTTTTATAGGGAAAACAAACAAGATCATCGTGATGAAAAACAGGTGAAAATGTCGTTTTTAAAATTGAGCAAAAATTAGCCAGTATTGAATACCTCGGTGCTTGGCGAAGCGTGAAACGGAATTAAAAATTTGTCTTTTTTTTTACTCGAAATTGATTGTTTACATTACTACTAGTTTTCATGCGGCTTCCAAAACCTCCTACAAAATAATTTAAAGGGGTAAGTCAGAGATCCTTAATAGAATTTAAATTTACGTGGCTCAAAAATTAATTAAAGTGACTCAAAATTTTGGATTTGTCCATACAGAAATTAACGACCGTTCCGCAAAAAAAAATAAGTCAGTTCCTGGTTTAGATAAACCTGAACGGGTAGTCCTCTTTGCACTGTTTGGACCTTACTGTAGTTCTAGTTGTTTGTCTAAATGAAAGCTTTTACCTTCTATCAGTCGGAAATTTTATTCCGCTAGAACTTTTGCCAACATCGCTTAATGCACGATTTCGGATTTATTTGCGGACTGAGAAAGAATATTTGTCAGTAAGATATTAAAGTACATTTTTTTTTCTTCATTTTGTGTATACAGTCGTCTTCTTCACGAAAAAAGTTCCTAGAATCACCTTTTTTGGGTATACCATTAAAGGCTTGTTCCAACTAGGAGTCTAACCCTGGCGGGTTTACTGAACTTCTTCCAGCAAATCTATGAAATAGCATGACGACCATACAAGCAGTTATTAGCCTTAATAGTAGTCTTTTATCTTTTATTTTTTCTGTTGTCATATTTTGTAAACACTGAGGATTAAATTAGTGTGCTCTTCATCCATGTAACAACTGTCGAAATTCCCATCCCGGGCAAAAATATCCTTTCTGTTTGGATACAGTCTTACAAATAAGATATAGGGAAAATTTCGGATTTAGACGCCATTTATACGGACTA